GGCTGCCGCGTGCGAGCAGCTGCAAGCCTGCCACCGCCGCGTGTGAGCCGTTGTCGGCCGCCCTGCGCATGCCGCCGCTGGGCGCTCTGCGTGAGCCACCACTGGGACACCGTGTGCGAGCCATCGCCGAGCACTCCTGGCGTCCCGCGCGAGCCATCGCCTGGCTGCCGCGTGCGAGCAGCCGCCAGCCGCCAGCCGCCTGTGCGACCGCCGGGCCTTTCTACTCGCTGATTCGAGAGAGGCTCACATGGTTTTTGGATTTTGGTCAAGAAGCAAAGAGGAACGGGGATGCTTGCCAGCACTTGCGAACTTCAGGGCCTGGCTACCACACAGCAAGCAGATAATAGAGAAGCCACGGGAGGAACAAAGGGATAAGACAGGGGTCACTGGAACAAGCAATGGACTGAGATCATGGACAATGGGTCCCATATGTAAGAGAGTAAGAAAACAAATGCGTGACTTGTTGGAAAATCTTAAAATATGAGGTGTAAGAGGCTGACACATCAAGTTGTTGCATGCTGCCTTTTTTTTCTCTTTTATTAAATGATATGAGTTAAATATTGGTCATGTCAAATTGCTGGATACATCATGTTACTGTCTAGCTTATATTTTGTCTATATGATCATGTTGCGTGTGTTTAGAAATGTTTATGTGATCAACTAGCCACACAATGGTATTTAAGAATAATATTTATATTCGATCATGACTAGATAGGGGTATTAAACAACTTACAGACAGTCAAATAGACAGCCTGTAGATTCCAAGAGCTTGGAGACAACCCCCTGTGTGGGTTAAATATGCCTTAAGGATAAGGTAGAGAAATAGAGAGGGAAAAATTTAGAAAGAAAAGGTAAAAAGAAAAAATATGGCCCTGTTCGTTTGTCTTATAATCCATACTTTTCAGCTTATTTTTTCAGTTGAAACAATACTTTTCTCTCACAACAAATCAGCCAGAACAGTGTTTCGGCTTGTTTTTTCAGCGAAGCGAACGGAGCCTATATATGTAAAAAAGAAGAGGGTATTAATGACATTTTCTCCTTTTTAATAGGCGGAGAAGCTATTTTGCCAAACGTTTTTCAGAAAGACTTCTGCTTCACCATAGAAGCTGCTCCTTCAAAGGAGCAAGAGTCAAAGTTATTTTCGGTGGAGCCAGAGCCTTGTAAAACAGGCCCGTTTGGTGGGAGCGCGTGGCCACGGCGCAGATAATGGTGTCAGGCCCGTGGGGGTTTCGAGTTGGGCTCCGGTGCAGATAATGATAATGGTGTCGGCCCGCGGGAGTCCCAAGTTAGGCTACGGGCTCCGTCCGGTGTGCACTGTGAAGCAGAGTTGGATAAGTTTACTAAATTGTCTCGAACTCATGAGCCGTACTCACGCAAGATGGATAGCATATGTTCAACCAACTTACAGAAGCGGATTAGAACAAATGACACAAGATATAAATCCAGTTGCAACGTACGGGCATGTTTGCTAATAAAAACAAAAGAAAGCCGAAGAGGCAAAGGAGACCAAAAGTCCAAAGAAGAAACAAAAACAGAAAAGACTAAGCACCTAAAACACTACCGAAGGATATTGAGCCAAGAGCTGATAGCCGAATGAAGTCCAGGATTACTTCCGGAGAAAATTAGTTCCTTACCTAAAAATGGTTGTGCTTAGTTTTTTTTTTTTTTGGCCCTTTTTGATTGAACTTGCTTATTTGGACCTAAAATGTATTTCGTTTTAATTCTTGACCCTTCCGTTAGTTTGATAAGGGAATGGTGTTAAAAGCAACGTGAAATTACTCTTTTACCCCTGACGCCGAATGCAAACACTATAGCAGCCTACAGTAGAGTCATACATGCCATTCATGCTGCCTACTATCAATAATTTCCTAAAATAAGATACAATATTTTTTCAATCATGAAATTTATTATATATATATTTATATATATAATTTCCCAAAACATATATAAAAAACTAAGCATGAAATTATTTTTTATATATAATATGTCCCAATGATTATTATTTTTTGGGAAATTATTTTATAAAAAATAAAAAATAATAATAATTCTATGTTTGAAGAAAATATTGTACCTTATTTTGAAAAATTATTGACTAAAAGCTCTGTATGGTTCTATGTGCGGATTGACAATTTATTTAACACGGCCAGGTGCTCAGGTGTGTGTAGTACATACTTCAATTTGTTCAGGATCCCCTCCGATCGATCGACCTCCCATCTTCCACCATGGCAAACGCCTCTGCCGCCCCATCGATGAAGCCAGTGGCAGAGACGTCGTCGAGTTGGCTGACAGCCTGACACAAGACATCACCGCGGCGCACAACTTCGAGGTGATGGACTTCTCGCTGCTCGAAGGCATGGGAATCGGCAAGTTCGGCTCGAGGAATTTCCGCGTTGGCGGCTACGACTGGAACATCAGGTTCTACCCAGACGGGAGCACGGCGGAGCATAAACACAGAATGTCGGCCTTCTTGACTCCTGAAGGAGGAGGACAGGAGGGTGTGAGGGTCAGGTTCACCTTCACCGTCTTCGGTAAGAATGGCAAAGTGTGGGTGAAGGAAAACGCGGTGCATACCTTCAAGTCACCTTTAACAGGCTGGGGCTAGCGCACCTTGATAGATAAATCCAGCCCCCTCTTCCGAACGCAGCTGCGCGACAGCAACGACCGCTTCACGGTCAGGTGCGTCCTGACCGTCATCCAAGACCCCCGTGTCGAGGACGTGAGTGCCATCGTCTTCCCGGAGCCCAGCGTGCTGCAGGACCTGGCGAGCATGCTCAGGGACGGGGACGGGGTCGGGGACGGCGCGGACGTGACGTTCGTCGTGGGCGGGCGGTCGTTCCCCGCCCATCGGTGCGTCCTCGCCGCGAGGTCCGCGGTGTTCAGGGCGGAGCTCTTCGGCCCGATGCAGGAGAAGGCCGCGCGCAGCGTCAGGGTCGACGACATGGAGCCTTCCATCTACGAGGCGCTGCTTCATTTCGTCTACACGGACACTCTGCCGGATGATGACGACGGCGACGGTGGCGGTGACACCGACGACGACGAGGACAGGAACGTGCCGATGCAGCACCTGCTCGTCGCCGCGGATCGGTATGGGCTGCACAGGCTGAGGCTGATGTGCGAGGTGAGGAACTGAGGATGTGTCGTAGCATCGACGCGGAGACGGTGGCGACTACTCTGGCTTTGGCCGAGCAGCATCGCTGCGTGCAGCTCAAGAACGCTTGTCTTGGATTCATAGCCTCGCGGGGAGTGCTTGGTGCTGTCGTGCAGACCAGTGGCTTCTATCATCTTGTCGAGAGCTGCCCTTTGGTTCTGGTTGGAGATTTTGGACAAGCTCTAGGAATCTAGTCAAATGGTACTCCTACAGTCCCCAAAAAAATGTAAATCAAGCTTCTCGATGAGTCTGATAATCCAAAATTTTAATTATGCCTATAGAAATTAGTAGTATCACTGTATTAGTATTTGTACCTATTTTTTAAGGAAAAACACTGCTTTTATAAAGCAATGTGAAAGGTACACAAAAATGCTTAAATGAAATGGTTGAAAATACTCAAAACTGTAATTGCTATATGGAGAGATCAAGTTGAGAAGTGCCTTGGTTTCATTCATGTGTGATGAATGATTGACGCAAGAGTTGAGAGGTTTAATTTTTTTTATTTGAGCTCATATTTCATATGTGCTTGTTTATGCTAATGGCTAACCGGAGGTGTCGCATTATGTTGTGTTGTGTTTGTGCAACATGCTTCTTGGTTTATGAATGTGCAGATCTTGGGTGCATCGAGGTGGTCAACAAGGGATGGAGAAGGTCAAGCCAGGAGTCCATACGCGATGGAAGAGGGCATTGAATGGCGGACACAAAGGCTTTGATCGAGGGACCAAGAGGCCAAGGATGGACCATGGAAATCTCACATTTGGGCACATGAAAGAGTACATGGACGAAGACGGTGTTCACCAAAGTCAAAGTGTGGTAGATCTAGGGTTAGGGTTAGGGTTACGTTGAAGACGCACCTGCACAAGCCGGAGCCCGGCGCCGGAGAGACGGAGAAGAAGACGCGCGGCGGCAAGGGCACCTCCCCGAAGACGGCGACAAACGAGATCGATCGGTGGAGGACAACGAGCGGTTAGAGAGAGGGCGGGAGGAAGAAGAGAGTACGAGAGGAGGAAGATGAGAGGAGGTCTGCAAGATCCGGCGGTGGAGGGGTCGCCGGAGATGGGGAAGACGACGAGAAAGGCGACGGCAGTGGCAGGCTACGGTGAGAGAGGCCGGGGAGAACGAGCCCTGTACACAACGGGAGGAAGGCAAGACGAGATCTCCAAGATCAGGCGGTGGAGACGTCATCGGAGATGAGCAGGACGACGACAGTGGCAGGTGGACCGCGACGGCGAGACGCGAGGTGAGAAGAGCGAGAGCGGGGGAGGCGGGGTGGGGTGGGGTGGGGAATGAATTTAGGGTTTGGGGGGGTGAGGGGCGCCGCGGCGGGGGCTTATATAGCCCCCTCCCCCCTATCGGGCTGCGCCTGTGCCTGCTGTTACGGACCAGGCCGTGCCGTGCCGCCCAGCGGGCTGAGGTGGCGGGCCAAGCATGGCCTGTGGACCGGGGCATGCTTGGCACGGTCCCGGTGGAGGCCAGGCCGGGCCGGGCCAAAAAACCAGGCTCTGTGCCGGGCCTTCGTGCCGCGGGCTGCTTGCTCAACTTTAGCTTTAACAAGAACTTCACCGGACCAGTGGAGCATAAAGTAGCAGCAATATCGAAGAACCTGCACGCGCCGTTCACCTTCTCTTTTCTCTCCCGCGACCACTCCATCCTAGCCGGCGGTGCCTTCTCGTGCAGCTCCTGTCGCCCACTCGCCGTCTTCTTGGTTCGTGGCTGGCCGTCGGCGTCCGTACCCGATCGGACGGATCGAGACGCCTCTCTCCAGATCCGTTCGTCACCGGCTTCGGGCAGTCGCTGCTGTCAGCCTCCCTCGAGTGCTGCCGTCCGCCAGTCCTTGAGGAGGCTCGACGACCATGGAGGCACTGCAGTGGATTCTCTCAGCTGGGACCAATTTCTTCGAAGGGATCCAGCTGAGCAACGACCTGGTCCGCCTCCAAGCCACCTTGCCCAAGGCTCGCATGCTCATCTGTCGCAGCGAGTGGGGCATGTTCAAGGACAAGCAGCTCGCGAAGCTTCTCTCGCATCTCAAGGACACCACCTACGATGCAGAGGACCTTCTCCGCCAGCTGGATGATCAAGAGCTGCGGCAAAGGATAGAGGACGCTGATCGGAGCAGGGCAGGTCAACTCTTATCTTCCTCTCTGAATCTTGCCAAAACTTATATCCGTGGTAGCAAAGCAAGGATAAAGGAGACCCAAGAGAAGCTCGACAAGGTCGTGGTTCAGATCGAGGGGATGCTCAATCTTATGGGTCTTATGAGCGTTGAGCCATCGCAGATCATGCCGGAGACGAGTTCAGTTATCAGCGCTCCGGAAGTTGTTGGTCGCGATGGTGAACGAAATGCATTGATTGAGATGCTTGGTGTGATGATTGGGCGTGAGGCCCAACGGGATCAGGTGATCGAACTATTGGGAGTGCCACTCACCAGGGGTAGGAGATCTGCAGGGTCTAATGGGAAGAGAACAACAGCTGGCAGTGGTGTCGCATCTACATCCAGAGCCAAGCAACCAAAAGGAAACAACGGCAGGGCTGGACATGCTGAGATTAACTACAAAAGCAATGTTTCTGTCATCCCGATTGTTGGCATTGGCGGTGTGGGGAAGACTACCCTGGCTCAGTATATCTACAATGATCCAAGGGTGAAAAACCACTTTGGTGTGATGATATGGGTCTGTGTCTCAGACTTCTTTGACAAGAAAAGGATAACAAAGGAGATCATTGAATCCATCCCTTGGGAGGAATTCAACCCATCCTGCAGTCTAAATGCTCTTCAGATCGAATTGATGGAGCGGCTCAAGATGTGCCCAAAATTCCTTTTGGTGTTAGATGACGTTTGGCCGAACGCTAATGCTGATTGGGAGGCATTTTATGCACCACTGAGGCGTGGACCTGAAGGCAGCATGATCTTAGTGACTACAAGATGTCCAGTGGTTGCTACTCGTGTGACCACAAGCAACTGTGAGCCTTTCCATCTCGAAGGATTGCCTACTGATGTATTTTGGGACTTCTTTAAGAAGTGTGCATTTGGTAGAAATGACCCAGAGTCATATCCTCATTTGCAAGATATTGGTCGGAGTATTTCGACTAGGTTGTGTGGGTCTCCTTTGGCTGCAAAAACACTTGGGCGCTTGTTGAGTATGAGGCTGACAGAACAACACTGGAGGACTATCCAGAAGAGTGAACTGTGGGAGCTACGGCATGAAGAGAACGAGATATTACCAGCCCTTCAACTAAGCTATTTGTATCTCCCAGAAGAGGTAAAGAGATGTTTCATGTTTTGCTCCATGTTTCCGAAGGATTATAGCTTTGAAAGAGACAAGATAGTTGACATTTGGGTGGCAGAGGGCTTTGTTGCGCCAGAGGGGAGCATGCGTTCTGAAGATGTGGGGATTAGTTACTTGGATGAATTGAGGAACAGATTTCTTTTTCAAGCTGATCCAAAGTTCCCGAATAAAGCATACGTAATGCATGACCTGATCCATGATATGGCAGTGTCCTTTTCTATGGATGAATGCTTTGTAATGCAAGATTTAAGCAACCGAATGCATAGTACAGTCCGTCACATGTCAATTGAAGTGGATGGTGAATCCTTGACCAGAATGGGAGACATTCAACATTTCAATAAATTGCATTCGCTTAGGTTCAGAATCGGATTTGATGTTGAAATTACCTGGTTCAATCAGCTTTCCAACATTCTATATTTGAGCCTAAAAGGTTGCAAGCTGGTAAAGCTGCCCGAAAGCATATGTGAGTTGAATAGTCTCCGTTATCTTGACATATCTCATAGCAATGTACAAGAATTACCCGAGAAACTCTGGTGCCTTTACAGCCTACAAGTTCTTGATGCAAGTCGCTCAAGTCTGAAAACAATCCATCAGGATGTAACAAAGCTAATCAACTTGCGTCAGGTAGCACTTCCAGCGGGTGCCTCTCAAGCCTTATCAAAGGTCAGTGGTCTTGGAAATCTGTCTTGTCTACGAAACTTGAGTGAGTTCATAGTTGGAAAAGAGATTGGACGTGGAATTGGTGAACTGAAGTTCATGAATCAGCTCAATGGAAGGCTCGCTATCAGATCTCTTGGTATGGTTGGGAGGGAGGAAGAGGCTGCTGAGGCTAAACTTGTTGACAAACAATACCTCAAGGAACTTGTTCTACACTGGCGAGGGGGAGGAGGTTCGTTGAAGAGGCAGAAGAGCAGTGATAATGGAGTGCTCAAAGGCTTGCGTCCTAATTCAAGAATTGAATGCCTTAAAATCCTTGGCTTTGATGGTGATACGCTTCCAAGCTGGTTTAAACCAGAAGACTTACCAACTTTAAGAAGCCTGGAGCTTTCCTATTGTGGTTGCTTTCAAAGTTTATCAATCCCCTGCTTGGCTGACAGAACACAAGCTGGTTTAACGGGGGATGATGGAACACAACATGCAAGCAGCAGCGGCAGTCACAACAATGGCATTGCCCCCTTTGCCTTTACATGCCTCACTGCTTTACGTGTTTACAGATGCATTAGGCTAACAAATCTCGAGCAGTTCTTGATCCCAGAGACACTGCCATCCATCAAGTCAATAGTGCTCGAGTACTGTGTGAATCTAAAGTCAATACCGGTCCATCGTTTTCTGGGATTTGTTCGCCTACAGGACCTGAAAATCCAGCATTGTCGCAAGCTGGAGTGCCCACGGGAAATGGTTTTGCCCACCTCTCTCCGACGACTCTGTATCGTGCGTTGCAATGAGCTGGAGAGGTCATTTCCAGCCTGCCTAGAGAACCTCGCCTCTCTCACCCTCCTGCAGTTGGCTTATTGTGATAGCGTCAAGTGCATCCCGTTGAACTCGATCGGCTCAAACATGCTGAAATGCCTTGTTATAAGTAACTGCGGGGAGTTGTCATCCATCGGAGGATTGCAGGGCCTTGCCTCCATACAGCATGTCCAGCTATCTTGGTGCCCAACGCTTACCGAGGTACAGCAGCCGTTCGAGAAGAAGGAACTGCGGACCGAAGAGGGGAAGGAACTGCTCAAATTTCTTCAAAAAACAGATTAGTCGAAGTAGCTCTTGATGCTTACCTTCGTCACCTATGCGTGTATGGGTTCACTGTTCGTGGTCTGCCCAGTGCCCATTAGGCCATTACGGCAAATTAAGGGTGCTGCAAGTGACTGGTCAGTTCTGATGCTCCTCTCGTTTGTTACCAATAGTCCTGCTGACTGCTGTTTTCTAGAATACAGTAATGATTGGTGGCTCTTTTGGCTTGTCAACTCGCAGGGTACGGTGGATCTCAAGTTGCAACTAACCTGCCAATAGGCAGTCATGTGGGATAGTCGTGGTGGTTCGTAGCCATCATGCCTGCGCTTCTCAAGGCTCGGTCTAGCAACCCTTGCTGTTTACTTGCGCGCTTCTGTCATGTACATACAACCAAGCTCATGTGTGGGTCAAGGCAAATGAGATCGAGTACAAAAGAAGGCGGCCAGCAGTACCGACGCAGGCCTCGAACAAAAGAAGGCGGCAAGCAGTACCGAGACACAGCATTCGCATGCACGCATGTGAGCATGCTGGGTGTTCAGAAATCAGTTTTGCTCCTGTGGTCTTTTCCATGGAACCTGCACCACTCTTGTAATTACTACTACTACTGTGCTGCATAGAAACATTTGGTTCTAGCACAATTACATCACAAATTAGCAACCTATGCAAAAGTTATTATAATTGGTGCAGTTTCATAACTTGGTGAACGCTTATCTATTGGCTATACTCGTTCGTCTGTGATTGTTGGAGGCCACACTATTTTTATTTCTTCATTAAAAAATGTATCGGCCTATTTGTATTTTGTGGAGCAGCACTGCTGCAGCGAGTGCGAGTCTTGAGTACAGCGAACTTAGGTTTATTTGATTTCACAAAGATGAACTAATAAAGCTAACCGCAACAGATGCCTTCAAATTCAAGATTAGGATGATTGGGGCCAGCCACAGTTCGTCTTTGTATATTCAAAGATGCAAAGTGTCCACTTGGCATGATAGTTTTTTTCTCCCCGGAAGGCATGATATAATCTTCTATTATTGCTCTAGTATTGGCCGATTCTATTGTTTTATTTAGTATTTGGCCAACAAAAAAGAAACATCCACATTCATTCCCAAGGTCTAGAAAATTGCCATGTTGATTAGAGAAAATAAAATTAAAGTGCCCCTCTATTAGCGTATATTATCTATTTATAGCTAGCGTATTGTAAGCCTAATACCCTCTACCTGCTGATAAATTCCACACCACTGTCATTACACAAATTTTAACCTAGAAACACCATTATGCCGATTTCTCTATTACCAACACATGTCCTTATAAAATGGCTTCTCAATTTACACTTGCTATAAGTAATTGAATCTTTGTTTCAGAATAAAAGGAAATTGAAAGTTGCAATTCAAATTATCTTTTGATATGGATATATAATAGAAAAAAATAAAAAGAATCAGTATGAGAGTTAACAAAATTAAATAGGAAAGTTCAAAATATAAGACCCGATAGCATCAACCGCTCAACTAAGGAAGGTGTAATATAGAGCTAATGATAAAAATTTGATATATTTTTTATTCTTTGGTTAACGCCATTAATGTGATCTACCTTCCGAAGTTTGGGTCCATAATAATATATATATAGCTCAAAGACATCATTAACCAAACCCCCAAAAAAAGATATAGCGTGTATATAGCTCATGGTGGAACAACTATTTTCGTTGACAACAATTGCTAATGCAGCTATTGACTTCAAAGTAAGACATGGGAGTCAAACTGGTGACAAAGGTGCAAACTAATTTGTATAGTTTGAACAGTGTTTTGAGGCGTACTTTTTCGGTGAAAGAACAGTGTTTTTCTCTCACAACAAATCAGTCAATAATATTTTTCAGCTTGTCTTTTCAGCGAAGCGAACAAGGCCAGCTGTGCAATTGAGTGGGTCGCCTTGCTAATTTCTAATATACATTTAATAAAACTGGAATAGTTTAAAATTCCATTTTAATATTCATCGCAAATACATAGAATTTAGTCTCTGTAATCATCGCAATCATCGTATTGCATAAAAGGGTTATGTAGAATAGCGTATGCTTGCATAAGTCAATGCAATTTAGTATTGTTTGGTTGAGTTGTATTACTCTGTTGCATTTGTCTGTGCCTCTGTTTGGTTGGGTGCATTAGGAGTTGGGCTGCATTTAGTTATGCATAGTTCTATGTTTGGTTGTTTGCACTAAATACACCAAGCCGGCAATAGCATTTCATGGAACACCCTAAGCGTGTGATTCTCTCCGGCGCCCACATTAGATCTGTCGTCGTCTCGTTGAAGAGAAACTCTGGAGATGTCGGACTGACCAATGAGCGTTGGCGCGGGCGTGGCGCCTTCGAGCACGGCAGAGATGCTAGACTCCAAGCCAGAGGCAATACGCCCGGCCTAGGTGAGTGAGTATGCAAGTCATCTTGCCTAGTGCCATGAGATTTTTTTTAAATAATATATTTTTAATGATTAATTGCAAATCTAGCATTTGGATTATAAGAATTATATATATAGTATGCTGTCGCCTCCGGCTAGCCGATAGGGGCCCTACCAGCAACTAGTGGGCCGACAGGACACTGTCGGCGGCCCAGTAGCCGACTAGGTACCCGACCTTGCCAGACATGACAGCCCAGTGGACCCATATCGGCCCGATAGGCATGTCGGCACCCGGTTAACCGATAAGACTCTGTCGGCCTTCGGATAGCCGACAGGTCCTAAAATATGTACCGGTCATCTTCTCCATCGTGTTCTCCCTGTCGCTCGCTATTTCTCTCACGCTCACCGGCGCGCCGCCGCCCGCCGCTTCTCCTCCGCCGCATGGGCGGCTTAGGCTCGCCGCCGGCCGACGAATCCGGCGGAGGGCTTGCCGCCGCCGGCCCCCTGGAGGCAAGAAGTCAGGTGCGTTTTCTTTTTCTTTTTTTAGTTAGTTTAGTTTATTAGTTTAGTTAGGTTTTGTAGTTTAGTTTTTTAGTTTAGTTCGATTTTGTTCGTTTAGTTTAGTAGCTAGATTTAGTTTTAGGAGTACTTTTAGTTTTAGGGTTAGGTTAACTTTTAGAGTTAGTTATTAGTTTTTCTGTTTAGGGTTGGTTAGTTTAGTTATTAGTTTCTCTGTTTTTTTCTAGTTTTAGGGTTAGTTTTAGATTAGTTATTAGTTTTGGTTGTAGTTGTAGATTAGGGTTAGTTTTACGGTATAAATTTTAAGGGTACCTCAATTAACTTACATGATATTTTGCACGATGCGAACAAGAATGTCGACCGCTTTAATCCCTTTCAGAATTTACTATGGTGAATCAGATATGGAGACAGCGGGGTAGACCTTACCGATTTCCAGTTGTTTGACATAGAACTTAATTCGCCACTAGATTACAGCCGGAAACAAGTTTTAGCCTGGCTACATGAGCACTTAGGTGTTCCGCCCACCCAGCGCCATTTCAGGATTAATATGTTGGTGCTTAAAAAACGGGAGAATGGATGGAGGTGGGAGCTGTACGAGGCCAGTAACACAAAGAAGTGGCATTTTCTTGTGTCCAAGGCTTTGGAGCGTCGTTATACCAACATCATGCTTGTTGAGTTCCTGGACGGTGCCATGCAGGGTGAGAGTAGCAACACAGGTGCAGCAGAGGAGCACTTAGAGTCAGCAATTGCTGAGTAGACCTATGTTTGCGATCCTCAAGCGGTTGAGAACACGACAGAGGGTGGACAAGCGGAAGAGTATGGTCCGTCCATGGAAGCTGACCTGGGTGAGGAGGACGAAAGAATTGTCGAACAGATGGAGGCTGACGATGCGGAGCACATCGCCTTCGTGGATGAATTTGCTGGCAGGAGGTTTGACGACGAGACCGACATCCCTGAGGACTGGGTTCACATCGCACCTGATGCCATGACGGTCGATGATGGTCATCATTCTTTGTGGGAGTACTCAAGGATTGAGGTCAGACAAGGGCAGATGTTTCATGACAAGGTTCATCTGCAACACGCTGTTCGGTGATGGGCTTTTTCTGAAAAGAGGCAGTTTATGGTTGTCATTTCTAACCCCATGACATGGGATGTTAAGTGTGTCACCCCGGGTTGTACTTGGCGTGTTCATGGTCATATGCCACGTATCGAGAGCAACTTCATAGCCACTATTGTCGAACCACACATTTGCTTGCTGCAATCTTCGCTGAACAAGCATAGGAACATGACGATGACTTTCGTTGCAAACAAAATGTACGGTGAGGTTGTTGAAAAAGTTGGCATGTCTCCTTTTATGCTTGCTATTTAGAATAGATTTGGGTATGAGATTTCCTATGGTATGGCTTGGAGAGCTAAACAGTTGGCCTTGAAAAAGAGGTTCGGTACGTACAAGAACTCATATCATAACCTGCCAGCTCTTCTAGAAACCATTCAATCCAGAAACCCTGACACTATAATTGATATTGAAGACTACATAAACGAGAAGGAAGACCGAGCTTTTTGGTCTTTCGGTTGCACCATACATGCCTTAGAGCATTGCCGACCTCTACTAGGTTTGTCACCGAGGTGCGCAGGATGCTATATGTCAAACTTTTGTATAACAGCTTCTAGATTTATAATTAATTATTAAAAAATATTATTTAAAAAAATCGTGCCATGATGTCGCGGTGTCCAAGGGGGCACCATGGCCAGCGTGCTTGCGGCTTGCCTCGGTGTTTCATCCCAGAGAGCTCTCCTCAGCACGGCCTGGGCCTCAGGGCTGCTCGGCTACGCTCGCCGAGTACTGCATGCATGCCAGCAGCGAGCGGGCCGCCGCCGAGGCTGCCGCGGGGGCCAGACGCTGACTATCGTCCACTGCATCTTCGTGTCAGGCTTCACGACGCTATTCCTGGCCGCGCGGGTCGTGTGGCTGCTCTTCTTCCCCAGCTCTTGTTCCTGGCCGCTGTGAGGACGAAAACACCCCTCGGGAAGCCACGAGATGCCTGCAGTGCGGATGCAAATGCAAGCCTGCATAGGTTGATACCGTAAAAATTGGGCGTACAGTGGGATGCAACGTGGAG